GGGACACTCCACTGCCCAAATAAAATGTAAAAAATAATTTTGTAAAATACCACAAATGAAAACATGAATGTATTTAATTATGATTTTTTTTTTCCACTGGAGGTATATCTAAAAACAGCTTGCAAATGTTACAGCCCTCCCCTTCTAACCCCACCCAGACTTTCTGTACCTGACCAATCACAGACTTCCCAATGCAGCTCAATGAGAAGTCTTTATAAGGCAGGTGCTCTGGGCAATTGCTGCCTCGAGTTTATTTCTACAGAGCCAAACAAACCAGGAAGTACCAGGACCGTCTGTCTGATTGACAGCCTGCGGGGTGGAACAAGATCAATTAATATTCAAATCTGAACTTTTTGTAAAATCTGCAATTTTTCATCTAAACCAACTCAGTTCAAATGTAATAGTAACCTTTTGTGTGGAACTGTATCTAATGCTTAGAATATCCTATTCTTTATTCTGTACAAAAGATTAGATCAATATAACTGAAATAGGAGTCAATGAGTTAAATAAATAAAATACTTATAAAATAGGCATGTGTTATTTATTTTTATGGCTGGAACAGGAGAGTGAAATGTAACATGTTTCAAAATGTTTGGAAACTCCTGAAAAGTGAAAGCTTTTATTGCAGAACGAAAATACATTGCTTCAACTTTAAATTTCTATAAATACACTCGGCTACACCCTGGAATGGAAATGTGATAATGTGAAAGTCTGCAAGCTAGCAAATATCTCCAAATCACTTGGTTCAAATGGCAAGTCAACATTTAGGGCTCGGGAGAGTTCTGTGCATTTTAAATATACAGTGATGAATAATTTAGACAGATACTTTCAGAGCAGAAATAAAACACTTCACTCTGACAGATTGTATTCTGGCTTGAGGTATTTCCGACTGTCAGTAAACTCAAAGGGAAGTAAGTTTAGGTCTTTAAAATACCAGCGGCATGGCAACAGACCAATAACAATTATGCAAGAGGCCGTTGAATGGTGGACAACACACGCGGAAAGGGGAATCCAATAAAACGTTTGCCTGGTGCTAACTTTAGGCTATCCTGTGGCTTGCTGGTATGGTGCCATAGAGCATAAATGTGAACTACTAGGCAAAGATATCTCGTTCTTAAGAAGCTCTCGTCTTACTTTAACTGACTCTACTTAATACTTTTTTTTTTTAAACTCGGGGCTATTTAAAGAAACAAATGTCCATAAATATTAGTTACAAGCGGAAATTTCACTCCAGCAGTTGTCCACGTTATGTCCAACATAAGAATAAGATCACCATGCAAATCAGATCTGAATAAACTTCTTCTGAGACCAAATGATACCCCATTTAAGGGGTTAAGTGATGAAAAAGAGATACAACGTAGCACCCTTAGAAATATCTGTGTGTGGCCCTGTTACCATCAATGCAACAACACAGCAAATATTTCAATAAAATAGGTCCGTTGACAGTCTAATCCTTTCTGATACCAAATAAACTGAAGGTAAAAGAAAAGTGATCACTGCAGATTTTTTTAAATCTTAATTTAAAATAAAATGTTCCGTGTATTATAACCCATGTGTATTCATTTGTAATGCTAATCTAATAATATGGGTTGAAGCTATTGTTGCCTTTTTTTATCTCCAATTTATCAGCATTGCTAAGAGATTGAAATTTCTGCACGGACAACTGCATTGGAAGACAAATCCTATCAATCCCAGTGAGTTGTCAAAAATAAAATATACACAATAACATATTACAAATATATTAAAATGATTCCTCAGTCACAACTCAAAGGCACATTATAGTCGTCAGATTACTAAATCACAATCAAGTGGACTGGGTGCAGTATCACTGTGCTTTTAATCGCGGCAATGTAAAACGTTGCAGAATTTTTAGAAACTGTAATGTTAACATCGCAGGGTTAAGTCCATTGATTCAATGCTTTCCTTTTAGAAAGTTTGAATGTCTTCAGAGAAAAGATCTCTAATATCTCTCCTACCCCTACCAATATTTCACCCAACCCTGCTCCCTCATCTGTTCTATTCTCTCTCGCACCCGCTACGCCAGAAGAGGTCTCTGCTCTGCATCGGTCCTACAGCCCACCACCTGTTCCCTCACATCTCACTCATGCTCTGTCTTCTTCTTTTCCTCTGCTCTTCACTGAAATATTCAATCTCTCCCTCTCCTGTGGCATATTTCCTTCACTCTTCAAGCACGCAACTATTACACCCTAACCTTGACCCTAACTCCCCATCAAACTACCGACCTATCTCGCTACTATTGTTTTCCTCCAAGATTGTCAAGAGAGTTGTGTAAGCCAAATTGACCAACTTCCTTGACTCCAACTCTCTGCTCGACCCACTTCAGGGTTTGTCACTCTGTCAAAACGGCCCTGACCGAAGTGCCCAATGATTTAATTGCCACTAAATCCAGTGGTTGCTACTCTCTTCTAATACTCCTTGACCTTTCTGCTGATTTCAACACTGTTGATCATCAACAACTTCTTCTCATCCTCAATAATCTAGGTCTATGAGACTGCTCTTTCCTGATTCTCCTCCTACCTCTCCCAGCGCTATTTCAGTGTTTAATTATTTAACTCTTTCTCTCCTCTGCAACCCCTCTTGGTAGGTGTTCCTTGGTCCCCTACTGTTCTCGATCTATACTGCCTCCCTTGGTAAACTCATCAGCTCTTTTCTCTTTGACTCCAACATCTTCTTTACCACTTATATCCAGTCACTCACCAAATTCTCAGTGGTCTTGCGTGTTCCCAGCTCATGTTCCTGTCCGCCCGCACCTCCCATGCCTCTGCTCTCTGTCAGTCATTACACTGGCTTCTCCAGAGCTGTGTCATCCCTATGGAACTTCCTTCCATGCTTTGTTAGACTCTCACCCAGTCTCAGTTCCTTCAGAAAAACATCACTTCTTTAGGAAAGCATATCAATTATACTGTTAATATCTGTCCCTCCTCACACCTTGTAACCCACCCTTCTTCCTCTCCTGCAACTGTCATAAAACTAACCTTTCATTGTAAACTTTTCTAATAACCTTCTTTTTCCCATTCATAAAATATATTCCCCCTTACCTTTTGTGTCACTATACCCCACTCCCTATAGAATATAAGCTTGTTTGAGCACGACCCACTACACCCTCTGTTCCTGTGCGTCCAGCTTGTCTTGTTGCAAATACTTGTCATGTGGACTGAAGCCCTGGATGTGAAGATCTTTTGCCCCGGATCTCTACAGTTGGTGGAGGGGGCAACTGCTTTTCAAAGAGCATGAGCAGCATGCTGTTTACGGATACAGAGGACGGACATGTCATGACATCTCCACCTCTCTGCTAATGTGGGGTTCATCAAGTTTTACGTTGGACTGAAGCTGCAAGTGTTTCAAGACGCTAGAAACGCCCCTGTAGGAGACATTCCCGCTGCAGCTCCATCCATTGTACAGCAGAATTAGTTGGCGCTTAATAATTAATAATAATAATGTGTGCCATGTATAGGTTAGGTTTCTAAATGCTCATCTATTAGGAGCATTAGATTAGACCACGTCATAGGAGGCCATGTCCCCTCCATAACGTTGTGGGAGCCAGAGAGGTGTGCAGTACTGAAGGATCCTTGGAGCTGGAAAAGGGAAAGTAAAACGTTTTCTTTTTTTTTTTCAAATATGTTAATGCACATGGGGGGGAAGCTATTTTAATAAGAGTAGGGTAAGGGACACTTTAGCATGTCTAGTCTAAACATGCTGTTGCTTTTAATCAGGAAAGGACTTTTAAGCAACCCGTACATATTTATGGACCCCTCGTGGCTGGTAGGTTATGGACCTAAACTGTTGTGTTCAGAAAATGGGGCACTGCCCAGGAGAACAGTTACCCATGTAACTCATGCACTATCAAATATATTTGACATCATGTATCAGGGTGTCACATATAATGGAGAACTGTTTCCACGTTGCTGAGGTATTTAAGTAGATTTTACACAGCCATTGTAGAACAGTGCTCTACACTTAAAAATTAACTTGTTACCACAAGCTGAACCCAGGAAAATGTAGTGGTGTTACAAAGCTTATAATTTGTAAACAAGAAACAGGTCAGTGCTGTTGACCCCATTTCGTAGTTGATAATCAGGAGAAAAGTCAGGTCTGGTGGTACTGGGTCACTGTCAATAAAAAAAAAAAGCACTGGAACAGAGCAAACAAGAATCAGTTTGCCGACGTGAAACCCACCGAATTCTGTAAATTTAGAGGTGACTTTAATAGTGGATCTTAGATTCTTTTAAAAATAGAGTTTAAGGGACACACCTGAGAACAATTAAAACTGATGACAAGTCAAGGAACATCAAGAATCTCTTCTTCAGTTTTTATTCTCTACAAAAAGGGACATGTCTAGGTTTAGCAGATGTTAGGCGGTCTTTTTCAGAACATTGGTTTGATGCTTAGTGGTTATGACTAACCAGTTTAGACATTCTTATAATACCAGCATTCATATTGTAATGTCGGAAAAAAAGAATGTTTTGATTATCTGCTTCCAAAATGAAGAAACAAATTATTGAAACAAAGATACAAGATGCATTTTATTCCAAATACTGTATTATCCTTCAAAGTCAAATAACAAATGTCATGTCATTATTAATATGACTTACATACTGAGCTATTGACAGGAAGATTACTGCTTTGTAAATATGGAAAATATTTATCCCGTTGACCTGCACTGTACTAAAACTAAGCACGGTCGATCAAATACATATTTTGCCAGCACATATAACAGATGTTAAACAACTAGCCATTTCTATAAGTGTGATTATAAAAGTTACAGGCTATTTTAGAAGTTACTTTGTTGGTATACAGGACCTAGTCTTATCAAAGTACATTTAGCTATTATTATAAAATCATTTTTAAAGTGACAACCTATGATGCAGTGCTACACAATCGACAGACACATTATGTAAGTACTTGGAGGCATTACAAATGTAGACAAACTTGAAACAACAGTGAGAAGTGGCAATAGAACAACAATAACATTATGTGCGGTAGCAATCAAACACTTGGTCATCATGGTCTCTGATTATGCCCCCTCGTTCTACTGTGATCGAAACAGGGTTAACAGATCTTTAAGTCAGATGGAAGTTAATGTAGAAAATAAATGTGGAATTACATTATGTTAAGTGCCTTAATTTTCTTTTAAGTTTGTAGAGCTCTTGTGAACTCAGAGTAAGCCATTAGTTAAATTGCCAAAATAGGTTAAGATTCAATATAAAAAAATAAATGACTTTGGAAAACTATTCAGAACTTCTTGACGCTTTTTGGGATAAGTGAGAAAAGATGTAGTAGGGCTAATACAAAGATGGGTTATGTGTGGCAGGAGTAGTAGGGCCAATACATAGATGGGTCGTGAGAGGCGGGAGTAGTAGGGCTAATACATAGATGGGACGTGAGAGGCGGGAGTAGTAGGGCTAATACATAGATGGGTCGTGAGAGGCGGGAGTAGTAGGGCTAATACATAGATGGGTCGTGAGAGGCAGGAGTAGTAGGGCTAATAAATAGATGGGTCATGAGAGGCAGGAGTAGTAAGGCTAATACACAGATGGGTCGTGAGAGGCAGGATTAGTAGGGCTAATACATAGATGGGTTGTGAGAGGCAGGAGTAGTAAGGCTAATACATAGATGGGTCGTGAGAAGCAGGAGTAGTAGCGCTAATACATAGATGGGTCGTGAGAGGCAGGAGTAGTAGGGCTAATACATAGATGGGTCATGAGAGGCAGGAGTAGTAGCGCTAATACATAGATGGGTCGTGAGAAGCAGGAGTAGTAGGGCTAATAGATAGATGGGTCGTGAGAGGCAGGAGTAGTAGGGCTAATACATAGATGGGTCATGAGAGGCAGGAGTAGTAGGGCTAATACATAGATGGGTCTTGAGAGGCAGGAGTAGTAGGGCTAATAAATAGATGGGTCTTGAGAGGCAGGAGTAGTAGGGCTAATACATAGATGGGTCATGAGAGGCGGGAGTAGTAGGGCTAATACATAGATGGGTCTTGAGAGGCAGGAGTAGTAGGGCTAATAGATAGATGGGTCGGGAGAGGCAGGAGTAGTAGGGCTAATACATAGATGGGTCTTGAGAGGCAGGAGTAGTAGGGCTAATAGATAGATGGGTCTTGAGAGGCATTGTGAAATGCAGAATAATTTAGACATCATTTCGATAACAGACATGGCAGTTGAAATGTGATACATGGCTAGCAGACAAATATAACAGGCAGCCGTTTTCAGTACAGATTGCTGTCTAGAGAAGACCAAAATTAAAATATGAAAAAAGTCACAGAAATATTAAGGATACAATTTTTATAGCTTTGTTAAAATTCCATTTCTTTTCAGACAAGTTCTGATTTATTAGCTATTAAGCAGAAATACCATTTTACTAGATAAATAAAAATGGTTAAATACTCCATTATGAGTGTTATAAATGGAATTCTCAGCAATGCAGCCTAGTTACAATTCCAACAGAATTTTAAAATAATATCTATAGGTCAGTATCTAGAGGTCAGTATAATTCCCATATGTAGCAGTAAGGTAACATTAAACGATTGTACTATACAGGTGTTTGCCAGATGAAATAACATCTAATATTTAAGCTATGTTCCGTAACAACAGATTTTAGACCATTCCTCTCTCCCACAGATTGCTAGCATATATTAATGTGATTCCTAACTTGCTTACAGTTTAGAAGGAGGGGAATGGAGTCCAACTGCTATTTTAAGTCCCGAGGTATAGGGAAAAATGAGGGTATGGTAGAGAAATTCTTGTAACTTCTTTCACAGCTTTAGTTCTGGACCAAAAAGGAAGGCAAGTGAGATTCCATGCACTAAATTTAATCCAGCAGTTGTGTTGCAATTAAAAATTAAAGAAAATATTGGTATACACAATTCTGGTACTGAAACGATTAATCAGAATCATATAAAAATGTATTAACGTGCTTCATTCACATGACAGTGTGAGTGTGAGTGTAAACGATACAACAAACGTAAACCGCAACAAACACACAAAAAGCATTATTCAGCTGCCCTCATATATAGTATTGTAGCTTTAAATAAATTGCTAGTCCGTCACACAAATGTGGACATAAAAAAACAAAACAAAAATAAATAAAAAATGAACGAATCAACAAGCTCATTTTTATTTCCTTCATATTCCCCGGATTATTTGGTTAGAGAGTCCAATATACATCATGCATCTGGTCCTTAGCTCCTGTTTGACACTTTAATTTATATGTTTCTTCAAAATGTTTTTACATATTTAATAACTGATCCATAAACCAAGAAACAGGGGTAGTTATATACCATGTATTTTATTGTTTCAAGCATGATCCTGATAAAAGAGATTGTACCATCTATTATATATCTATTATATCATAAGTATCATTTAAAAAATCTATTCAGTAGTTAGATAAAAACAAAGAGAGACCCTGAATGTATGCTTTAATGATCGATATGATATTTCGTAAGGTGACAGTTAGAACCACACATATTTCAGGGACAAATATTTTAAGGATTTTGATATATTTTTTTAATTAATATCAATGTACAATGTGAGATATCTTAGAATAATTCAATGTAGTCCTGATTCTTTTTTGTGAGGTCATCACCCTACGCTCAGAGCCTGGATTAAGTTCTCAGTCACCGCTTAGAATGCATCTGACACATGACAATATAATCTTTCCGAGTAAGTAAACCTATGACATCAGAACAAGTATCGAAGGAACAATCAAAGTGTTCTGTTCTAAAAAGTCTTCTTAGGTACTAAAACCGAGGCAATCACAGTTACAATTTTTTATATAGTGCCAACATACTATTAATATTTATTATTTTATTATGTATATAGCGCCAGCAAATTCCATAGCGCTGTACAATGGGTGGACTAACAGACACGTAATTGTAACCAGATAAATGGACGTACAGGAACAGAGAGGTTGAGGGCCCTGCTCAATGAGCTTACATGCTAGAGGGAGTGGGGTATGGAAACACAAAGGGTATAAGTAGGGGTAGTGAAGTAGGTTGTTAAAAAAGTATTTACTGAGAACTTGAGTTATTTTTGACAGCTGCAGGAGAGAAGTCATGTGGAGAGGTGAGGAATGAAAACCCGCTAACAGTTTAAATATATTCTGCAGTGCTCTACAATAAGCAAATGAGACAAACATTACATCCGAACAAAAAGCGTATGACATACGGAAACAGTGAAGCTCACAATCTAAAGGGATAAGGGACAAATACACAAGAGCTCATAGACATAGACATCTCTAAAGAATTGTGCTATTTTAGGGATTTATTGAAGGACTGCAGAGACAGAGAAAATCGGATGTCCCCTGGGATGACACTTACAACCTGGAGAAGTCCTACAGGCGAGAGTCTAGGGTCGGGTGCGAGAACGGGACAGTAACAGGTTATCTGTAACCAATAGAACCAGCAAGCACATTCCATTGGGAACCCCTCCGCATTTTATATGTTTGCACCACTTTTTAGAACAGAATACGTTGATAAATCTATGTGTCCCATCAAAGTTACCTCCAGTGACGAGTAAACTGTGTGCTTAGTCAACATAAGACTTTATGGAATGGATATTCATTTCATTTAAAAAAATCTAAAAATAAACAAACAGACGCTGAGCTGTTTTAAATCACTTTGTTAATAGAGAGAGGTAGATATTGCAAGTAATTTACTAAGACTTTTTTTTGCAACACATAATAGTGGATATTGGTCTGCGCCTTTAATATCACATCACACCGTTATTCAGTAAGAGAAGATGAAACCGTGGTGGCAAAGGTAAATGAGTCAAAATCTGGACATAGACAAAAATAATAATAATAATAATGTAACGAAAGATAATTAAAAATAAAAGCATATGATCCTTGGAGTGCGTAGAAAAGTGCAGTCATCTCTAAATAAGAGACACTTCTATAGTAATTTTCTTCTCAGAAGTGATATTTGTATGTCTTATCAATAAGAGTTCTGACTATGTGGTTTTCCTGATAAAAACTGGAATCTCCAGCAAACTGCAATAATAGCTTTTCAGAATGGTACCGCCGTCAAACACCTGGGAGGTCTTTGTGTCCACCCATTGATAGCCATTTCCTGGAAGAAAAATGTCTCGTTGAACCTCGCCTTGTTCTGTCATGGGTGCGATCAGCATCTGAGGGGAAGGAGAATTATCTCATCAATGATCCCAGTTCTAGTACTCTTTATCTACCAATATATCGCATGAGTTAACATTGACCAAATCCAGAGGGTATTTACTAACGTTAAACATGCAAAGTGAATTTAAATTTAAGGACAAAGTAGTTGAACTGGAAACATACTGTGTTTCCCCCGAAAATAAGACCCGGTTTTATATAAATTTTTCGCCCGAAAAAACGCACTAGGGCTTATTTTTTGGCAGTGTCTTGTTTCGGGAAAAAACGCTAGCAAGCATGTGTAGGTCTACGTTCGGTATGAAATCCCATGAATCTACGTTCAGGGAAAATTCCCCAAACATAGCGAACTTGAGACTAGCAACTAGAGTTTATTGTCAGGGCAGGGCTTATATTACAAGCATTCCCTGAAAATAAACTGGAGTTATTAAAATTTAAATTAACATAGGATTCTTGGCAAGAATCACTTCAGTGAATAACCCTGATAATTTCTTCCTGCCTCCTGAAATATGACAAGTCTTCCATCACTAAACGGAAAGGGGTTGCATTGGTGATTGCCACTTCAAATAGCAGTTGCTTCTTTAGAATGTATGGATTCTGTGCTATAAGTCCTTAAAATTAAAGGAATGTTTTTTGGGGAGATTAAAGAAACGCTACTTTTTACTGTAACTTTAACGTAAAAAAAAAAAATATTAGACTATAAAAGGTAAGTAAGCTAAACCTTGCCCAGGGCTTGGTAATTGAAAAGAGCCCCAAACTTTAGTTCCTATCTTGGGAAGTAAGAAGGATGATCTGAGTACTTACCTGCCTGGCTTTTGTCACCTCAACCCCCTTATTTTGTGATTGACCCCACAATGATGTCACCTGGGTATATTATCATATCATCCCTGCCCTCTTAAAGGACCATGATAGCATTGGGAATACAAATATGTATTTCTAACACTACAATGTCACCATCCCTAATCGTTTCCTAGTCCCCCTCTCCCCATGCAATAAAAATGTAATGACATAAAGATATGCTCACCTTTTACAGTGCCAGTGCTCCCTCAGTGCTGCTTACATCTCCTCCATGATGGTCCAATCCAATGCTACTCATAGAGGAGGGTTGGGGGTACCAAATGCTCATGTGCGGCGAGCACTACATGCATTTAAACCTCCCCATAGGAAAACATGGAATCAATGACTTCCTATAGGGCCTCCACATCACATGACCCAGTGTTCCTGGGTCAGTGCAGCGGAATTGCTTCCAGTGGCTGTCATGCCTAACTCCACCAAGTAAACATTGCAGTTTCTGATAAACTGGGTGAAGGAGAAAGGGACACGGCACCCAGACCATTTCATTGAGATTAAGTGATCTGTGCGACTATCATGTACCTTTAAAAGCCACATTTAGCATGGGGAGGAAATGTGGAGAACTCTTGGGCTCCCTTAGTGGAACAGATACACCATTCAAGAAAATGCGGGCAAGTTAGATTTATTTATGGTTAATTTTTATGAAAGTTTGGTGGTGGTAAAGCAGAGAGATGGGCAGACAATCGATTATTAAATTAAAAAAAAGAGACCAAGGAAGATGCACAGATACAAAAACATGAGGGGGTGAAACTAAGGTGTCAACTAAGATCTTCAGTTTATTGAGTCTATTTGAGGTATAGCAAAATGTTATTACCCACAACCGACAAACAAGATAGATATATTATCTCTCCATGATCCTTATTTTGTGTATAGATTGACAAATTTATGTTATCCGAATCCGATAGCAGATTGCTCTGGAAATATCCTATTCTTATTATTTTTTTTAGCAAATACAGATGTTGCATTCAGGCTTTTATTTTCCAAAGGAAAAGATGACTAATTGGCTTCAACTTCAAAACAGAACCTTTCACTTTTACTTTTATATAGAAGCTTTGATCAGTTAGTGCAGATTTGTAGAATAATCTATTTGTTTCAATAATGTCTACATGAAATGAGGTATTTAATAAAATGCAAGCCATAGAACTGGCAAATTATTTAGAGCACATTTTTTTGAAGGAACATACACTAGGATGGCTTAACTCAACTAGGGTGCAAAGGACCATGCAATTATTTATTAAAAATTTTCCTCTTTGTGAAAAAATATGATTATTATATGTTCTGTTTTGTTTTTGTTTTTTACATTTTACTATAAAGCATCTCTGTCCTTTGTAAGTATATTCTCACATGCTTTTATGTAGGTTTTGTGATATTTTCCTTAGACCTCTGTTTTGTATATTCACACATGCACGAGAGTTTAACTTGTGCATTATTTGCAAGGAGCTGAAGCCAGAATTGTTAGTATATCTCCCTCAAACAATTCTTCTAGGTTACTTCACATCATGCTTGCATGCCACCCTGAGGGGGTCTTCACGATTATGTTTTTAATGCTTACCTCATCTCCTATTAGAAATTGATTGTCTATTGTGAATGCCCTCGGGTCATCTGGACTGAGCCACCAAATTGGTCTGTAGATAGGCATCCCAGAGCTGAGCCACTCCTCAGCATATTTTGTCAGCAGGGGAACAACAAAGTCTTGATGTTTCTGGATATATTGTCGTGTAAGATTTAAGACCTATTTCATAAAGAGAATAAATACATTTTTTAAGGGTTACAAAGAATCAGGGTGTTTTTCTGGTTCTGCTCAGTACCATAACGAGTATATGTTTTAAAAATTTAACAAACATAATAAAAGTATCAAAATGAAAACAGAAAATATGTGATATTCATCCAAATAAAGTAAATATAAGGACTGTGAACCATGTGTGCAGAGGAATGAGCATCTACTGTAACGTAAAATAAAATGGGCTATTCAACCATAGATATTTTAGGCTGCAGTACATAAATGGGCGTATTAAGGGTATAACTATATGGATGACAATAAATGCTGGATCATTTTGGGAACCAAGATAAAATCAAAACATGAAAACTACCACGATCCCCGTGACTCCAGGCCTTCAGGAAAGCACCAACACTGCCAGGGCTTAACCCTATTCTTAATTCTTAAACACACAAGGAACAGATCTTCCTGATAAACAGATCAAATGATATCTGATGTATTGAATGAAATGTAACAATGTAATGAAATAGAATATACCTGAATGGAAGTAATTACAGTTTATTACACTATAAATTCTTTCAGATAGATTTCATTGTTACATTGTTATAGCAGTTCATTCAATACACGAGAATTTTCCCAGGTTATCAGGGCTATCATTTTGGTGACCCTCGATGACTCCATCTCTAACTTGTTCCAGCGTGTTTGGTGCGGTTCTTGGAGCCATTTATGAGTCATCCACCAGTCTAGAGAAGGAAACATAGTCAGACTTCTCCTTCTCTGTTTCATGATTAGATCAAATGAGTTAATGATTGAGCTCATCAGAGAATGATAACCTCTGAAAATCTCCTTCGAGGGCCCATAATAACTGTCATCCTAAAACAGAACCCAATAGAGGAACATATTTAATGTACGCAATAAAATATGTGCTATAGTTGAAGTATCATTCAATAAAATATGTTTCTTAATGCACATTATAAATTGCCACTTATAAGTTGTCATGTTTTACTATTGTAAAATGAAGGGTATAAAATAGTTTGCAAGAGCATTAATCAACACTAGATAAAAAGTGCACTATCATCCAGTTACCTCTTGTCATCCTCAGTGAAACGTATCTCACTCACCCAGTCATCACAGCAGACCCATGGTGGAGTATTGAAGGACATGACAGGTAGGAACGTCATAATTTGCAGCCAACGTATAAATAACTCTTCATCTGTTAAAAATTCTCCCGATAATGTTCCTCCTTGAGATGAAAATATGACATAAACGTTACAAAATGCTATACAGCTTGAAATGGTGAATGATACATGTTTTATATGAATGGTTTTATTAGAACTCTGGCAATTCAATAACATTCAAGTAGCGCTGTTGTTCCATTTCCCAATGCCTGAATATTGTTTTGAAGGAATATTAAAAATTACAGAAACATATAGCCTTTATAATCAATAAAATGTGAGTAAACAGATTTGTAAAATATATTAGATTGGTTTTTGCATACTGCAATAACAGCATGCAATGAGCTGTATAGTACAGATGCGTGGTTTGAACCTGGGAACTGTGTTTACTGTATGTGACATTAAGCACATATGTGTCTGTAAGCACACGGGATCTCTTCGTTGCTTATGGCCTGTTTGAAAATACAGAACACACTTCTTAGTTAAACATCAGCGTTGTATTAAGTCAATATAATACATCAGTGTAGTAAGTATAGTGTGAGTGACTTTTGATTGGGTCGCCTCGACTTTACAATAGACCCTTGTAAACCCACACTTTACCCAGGGACACGTCAAAGGGCGAAGTCATGGTTGCTTAAATAAACTCCGAAAAATCCATAGTCCATGCTTTATTTCTCTCAAAATCCTAAACACATTTCAATGAAATAAAAATAAAGTCTCATTCCTAGAATACACAAATACCTGCAAATTGCAGTGCCCCACTGGTACTTAGAATGCTACGTAATGGTGCATTCCATTACCCAAACACAAAATACATTTAAAAACAAAATGAAAAAACCCCACAATTTAATAGATGTTCTCCCAAGGAAAACATGCATGCATTTAATTATGCTTTTTTTTAAATTTATTACGGGTATATCTTAATACTGCTTGCAAAAGTTACAGATGTGCTGTCTGCAGCCTTTGTATTCCCTCTATCCCAAACAAGGAGATTCTATTCCTATATGCACTATTATGTGTCCCTTCTTTTTGCAATATGTGCTTGCAAACCTTAACCTACCAGCTACATGAGAATCTTAAATGGTCATTCTAGACATTATGACCAATACAAGCCGATACAGTGGTTAGACAGCAGACACCATGCCCCAAGTTTCAAACCATTTTAGAGCAGTTTGACAAAAGCCAGAGATCCAAGAGTAAGCTGATTCACAATAGCAATGTCAATTTTATTTAAATATTAAATAAATTCATAGAATGATCATATCACTGGGTCAGTTAAGCGTGCCACATAAAATCATTGGTTTAACAATGTTACCAAAACATATTGTCATGTTTCAGAGATAGTAAAACCTGCCATAGATGTGACTCCTGAATGCCTGTACCTGGGATATACCTGAGACCCAATCTGCTATGTGAGCAATGTGGTTCAATTATAGAATTAGTACAGGGGGTCCAGCCTTGGAATTTCAGTTCCTGTTGGACCACAAATCACAGAATTATCTGTAAGCCAACAGCTGAGAAAGGTACCGTAACAACTTGTAGATAAAAAACGGACTGTATTCTGAACGTCCTAGCGTTAAGTAAATATCAATATACAGAGGGTCGTCTGATAGATTGAAATGTAAATTTTAGTTACTTGTTGAATAGTTTTGCATGATAGCACTATATCATGTCTCAATGCAGGTAAAAAGAGGACAACAAGCCAACGCCATTAACAGAAATATCAGTTGAGCTGTTTGCTTTATTTTTGCTCCGTACATTATTACATCAGTTTAATAGAACTAAAAGCTGAAAGTTGGAAAGAAAGTCATTGTTAACCTTTCTCTACCTCAGTTCGGCTCCAGTTTTGCAATTAGAAATTAATATAGAACCCTCTCCTTCAACGATATTGCAATCTGTCAACTTTTCAATGGTCTTTTTTAAAAAAACATTGTGTCCTCATTTGTACGTCTTGACACCAAGTCTCTGCAGTGGAAACTCTGTCTGGAAAGTTCCAAAGCAGCAACACTGACACTTTACAAGATGATGAGTGACCAGATGATACTTAACATGACTATCGGCAATTGGAGACAAGTTGTCCATTGCTGTCTTAAAGGACAGATATTTATTATCACCCGGAATTACTGCTCTATTTCATTGCCATTCCTATCACAAATACTATCGGCATCATAAATCCATAGTTAAAAAAAATTAGTTAAAAAATACATTGGTAAGGCAATCGTCTAGTTCTATTCCGTATACATAAACTCATGCCCGTTTTATTCCCACAGAGCTTGTCTACACTGGTTTTATATTGTCCTCTGTTGGTGCTGAACTCCATGGGGCTGCCCTGAGTTACCTAGAAATGCCCCTTTTATAGAAAGACGAATGAGGAGTGCTCCGAGTTACTGACCCACAATGCTCTCTGTTTTGATGCTGGAATACAAATGGAACTCTATGCTAGTAATATATCCATGTCTATGGGACTTGTATAACCACAAAATATTAGCATGGATATCAACCAGCTACTACGACTTATAATCAATCAGGGCATTCCCAATAAAACATGCCAGAACGTTGCAACAGTGTGCGTATAATATAATAACTATGACATTTTAACTCATTTTTAATCATTAGAATTTCTGCATTGGTGTACATACAGTCAGGTCCATAAATATTGGGACATCGATACAATTCTAATCTTTTGGGCTCTATACACCAACACAATGGTTTTGAAATGAAACAAACAAGATGTGCTTTAACTGCAGACTTTCAGCTTTAACTTGAGGGTATTTACATCCAAATCAGGTAAACGGTGTAGGAATTACAACAGTTTGTATATGTGCCTCGCACTTTTTGTGCCAGTTTGTGCCTACAAACTGTTGTAATTCCTACACCGTTCACCTGATTTGGATGTAACAAGATGTAAATACCCTCAAATTAAAGCTGAAAGTCTGCAGTTAAAACACATCTTGTTCATTTCATTTTAAATCCATTGTGGTGGTGTATAGAGCCAAAAAGATTAGAATTTTGTGTCAATGTCCTAATATTTATGGACCTGACTGTATATTACGGTTCAGTACTTATCAAGTCTGCTACAAGATTGAAAACCAACATTTAATTCTATAACATTTTAAGATTCTAGCTATGTACCCATTATTCCCTTTATGCTCTATAGCAGAGGTCCTCAAACTCCGGCCCCCTAGATGTTGCTGAACTACAACTCCCATGATTCTCTGGCTAGCTATGTAATTCAAAGAATCATGGGAGTTGTAGTTCAGCAACATCTGGGGGGCCGGAGTTTGAGGACCCCTGCTCTATAGTAATGTACTTGTTTTAGTCTACCAGCTTTGTGCGGTGTTTGGCCTATGTTAAGGCAGAGTAGGTGAAAGCATGTGGAAACAGAATACTTATCCATGACGGAGACACATAGCGGGAGTCTTTCTATTCAATGTGTCAATGGAAGTTCTCTATCAAGATTTTGTTTTCTAGAGATTTCATAAAGAAGAACCAGAAAGGAATTGCGATAAAGAACTGACAACCTTTTCATGCAATATGTTTTAGGCATTAATCTTGTTGGCAGCATATTTTACTATAAGCTACATATTTTTAATTGTATAAAATAAGTGAAATATAGGCAAGAGGACTTTAGCAGTCCCAAAAAAGGATAATATTGTACCCTCAATAAGTCAATAGGCATGCCCCACGTAGATATTATTTTTAGTGATGTAATTAAAAAGATCCACGTATAAAAACATTTAATAATGTAGGTACGGTCATCAAAACTAGCCAGGTCACATCATTTAGTAAATGATGGAAACGTTAGATCTCTCTTTGACTTTACAGTTTTCCTTTAAATAGTTAATACAATACACAAAAACTGCTTCCATAAAGTTACATAAAGTGTTATAATGAAATGCTGAGCCCATTAGCCCAACTAAGCTGCAAGACTGCAATACACTTCATTTAATTATTTACTTCAGGCAATAGCTTGGCATAGCTGAGAGCTTTGAAAATGTAACAACATTTCAGATAAATGTGTCAGCTGCATTAGTTATTCTCTTTGCAGCCAACAATAAACTTGTCATAAGAACATTATAAGAAGTCTAGTTTCTAGTGGCAATGGCTATTTGATAAAAGCAAACTTCAGAGAAGATTTAGGGGCAGCAGAGGTAAGAGTGTCCATCATCTGTATTCACTTCCTCAGTAAGGGCAGTGACGGAACAGTGGCACGCAGGCAGCTTGATAGGACTGACCAAGCTTAAAGGGACACTCTAGTTAATACAACAATTTCATCTCACTGAAGTGGTTACAGCGCTTGGATAGATACAATACAGGCAGTAGTTGGTGAAAGACTGTTTTTCACCTAATTAAATGGGAAACAAATCACTGAAAATCACCTATAATCTGTCTCGACTCTTTTGTTCTTGAGATGCTCTGTTTCTTAAAATGTAAATGAATGATGTAGCAAATGACATCATAATCCAGTTCAGACAAGGTAAAATTAGGGCAAACACTGCAGATGAAGAGGAAAATTAAAGAGTTTCCTTTCTCCTCTTCTCTCTATGCTCTCTCGATGCTGACTGCCAGGTGAAAAGGATAGAGTTTATAACAATGACCGACAGGGAGCTAAGATGAAGGTGTCGACTTGAAGGATAAAGAGGTGGAATTCTTAATTTAGTTAAATATTTATTAAATATTGGTATAAATAAATACTACAAATCCTGGGAAGTGATATCCTCCCCATTTAAATATAAGTAGAAAATATTGGGTTACAACACTTCTGCCTCTACTTGTCTGTTTTTGTGAAGCTAACAAAATATTTTGGTTTTCATTACAATTCTGTTCAGATAATATGCAGATCTAACACTCCTCTTTAGACTTTCCACCTTCGACTATATCTAACATTTCCAATCGTCTCTCTGCCGTCTCTTCTTGTTCTCTCTCTAAAATGAATTCAATAGTTTTCTACTTCCTCCATATTTCCGAAACTCTCCCTCGCTATTGATGAGTTTGTTAAATGTCTGAATGACTGAGTATAATTCCTTGTTGTCCTGTTTGACGCTACCATTCCTTTCACTCCATTTAATCAATCCATCAATTGGTCCTGACATCTCTAACTCTAAAGAAATCACAAGTTCTGAAACCTTTAGCATGGCTAGTGTTAGACTGTGTTTTATTGCTGCATTATTCCATCTTTATACCTTAGAGTATTACATTAAAGTGACGCTCTAGGAATTCTTACCATTTTATCTAATGAAGTGATTATAGTGCCTGGAGTCCATTGGCACTGCCCTTCTATTCAGTGTTAAACTGTTTTTAAATGTTTAATCCTAAATGCCCTCTGGGCTACTTGGGCTAGCGATGAAGCATTGGCCTGAGCAACAATGGGCAACTGTGATTGGGTGAGAGTATTATGTGATCGCTTTCAGCCTGTCACAGCTGTCAACTGCTGGCATGAATTGGTATGTGTGGCGAAAGTGACCTCGCCACTGGTTTTTGGAGGGGCCTGGTTGCCAGCCTCTTGCCTTCTGACTATGGCCCCTGGGAGAGTTTTCCCTTTATAAACATTATTTGGGCACATTGGATGGTGACACACTTTTTATACACCTTTAATTCCATGAGAAAATGTGCCTTTTCCCCTCCCCGTTTTGTCCCTTTGTTCTCCAGCAGGGCGTTGTCCCAGGGACACTGCCAGACCAGTTTAAACTAGCTGCTCTGTCCCTTTTCAATCTCTCATCAGCAATTGCTAAACTTCAACGCCATGGCGATTTTATTCTGTTCGTGGGATCTGAGCGCGGTTCGGATATATTGAGCGCTGAGATCCAAGCTATCTGGGGATAAGTGTGGGGATTCTGTTAAATATAATAGGAATTATGTATTTTTAGGTATTTTACTGTTGTTGTAAATGGAAATATACCCTGTACTGGAGATCAGTAAGCTACCACACCTAACTTTTAAACCACCTGAGGGAATTGTATGATTTTTGGATATGTGTGTATTTGGAGTATGCTGATTCTGAAAATGTAAGTTTATGTGAATGTGATGTATACTTTTAAAGTTATGAATATTGTGTAAAACTGTGTATTTTCCTGCCTTTGATAATTAAGTTAGCCCATTGTGTTCAGTAATTATATCACAGGCAGAGGGGAGGATTTTGCTGGAATGAATGGGAGTGTTTAACTGTATTGTACGTGTTTGATTGGCTGTGCTACAAAACCATGTGGGTGGTAACATTGTGTAATAATTTGTATATAAGAAACAATAAAACCACATCTCTGTCTGTTCCTGTTTACACTCCAAAACTGTGTGTCGTCCAGTTATTGGAGGGAAGAATATTTGCTCCTGTGTCTGCTGTTCCAGTTTGCAGGAGATTCAACTGGGAAAGTCCTTGTAAGCACTAGAGCTAATTCCCCTTTCGGTTCCAGAGTTCCCAGGACTGAGTATCGTCCAGTGCCTGGAGGTATCTGCTGGAGTGCTTGGAGCCCTCGGGAAGCGCTGGGAGCATCCTTCAACGGAGGTACCCAGTCAAGGTACCAGGTGATCCGTTACAGTATGGCTACATCCAGATCCCAATTCTGTGTTAAACTGCTCTAAAATGGATTAACACTGAATGGATGGACAGCACCAGAGGACTCCAAGCACTATACCCACTTCAGTGAGATGAAATTGTTGTTTTAAACTAAAGTGTCCCTTTAAGCTTGATCACTATTATTACCAATAATGCATTCCTCTGTCTTTTTTTGTGACCTCCCCATTCTGATTTGGCCTATGCTTTGTGGGTTAGAAATTCAAGAGTTCTTTACCATTGTGCATAGGGTGTGATACCTAAATGAAGGTACAAATTCATCAAACGTCACTGACATATATAAACTGATTGAATATTTAAACATGGGACACTCAAGAGTTGGCATACATAATAAAGGAAGGATTTTATTCTTCGATACATTGACTGTACATTATTATTGTAGCAGTATATACGCTGTGTATTACAGGTAGCCTATAATGCCTGTTCAGACAGATAGGATAAAGGGAATTACCTACTGCATCTGGAATGAAATAATTGTATCCTAACAAACTGTAATGAAGAATTGAGGGAATAATTCCTTTAATTCCATTGTAGCTCCAGTCTGAATATAATGGGTTCATCTGAACAAATATTGGTAAATTGTTTGACCTGTAAAACAGAAAAAAAGATAAATGATTCTATTTCATTATTATAATGCGATTGTATTTTGTAAGATTGTTTTTATTTGTTTCCAGTAAAAATAAATAGTCTATGAACACCACGACCTATATTGGATTTTTTTGAATAAATAAATGGAAAAAGACATGTTGGTATGGAAGGCACAGAGCAATTTCTAATTAAGTATTGACTGGAATTATATTTATTGTCCCAAATAATAACATATATACTCACATTTACATTTTTCATCTCAACTGGAATTATTTAAGCCTCAGTGGGAAAGACAGAATGCAAAACAGAACAAATGATTCTAGCTATAAGCAGTAATTTAATGTGAGTAGTAGATCAAAGAAAATCCACTGACATTGCTACAGACATAAAACGTGAAAATTCCTTTCTTTGTAAGGACAGGATTAAAGGATAAACTACAAAGATGTCGGACCTGCGAATTTAACCCTTAAGGACACATGACATGTGTGACATGTCATGATTCCCCTTTATTCCAGAAGTTTGGTCCTTAAGGGGTTAAAGGAGGTCATCGGAACTTTCCACAATTCTTCCACAATTAGAAAAAAATAAAAAATACAATTAAACCGCCCCTCAGTCTAAAAGCACTTAACTCTAAATACCACTAAAGACATGACTCATGTGCACCAAGAATATAGCACTCAAAACGTGTAATAAAAGGCGATACTAGAATAAATTTAATAGAAAAAAGACTTTTGTTTCTTCCAAAATACCTTCAAAAATTTAGAAAAAACAGGCAGTGAATATTACAGGCGGTGAATATTACAGGCGATGAATACTACAGACGATGAATACTACAGGCTGTGAATATTACAGGCTGTGAATATTACAGGCTGTGAATATTACAGGCGATGAATACTACAGACGATGAATACTACAGGCTGTGAATATTACAGGCGATGAATACTACAGACAATGAATACTACAGGCTGTGAATATTACAGGCTGTGAATATTACAGGCTGTGAATACTACAGGCTGTGAATATTACAGGCGGTGAATATTACAGGCGGTGAATATTACAGGCGGTGAATATTACAGGCGTGAATATTACAGGCTGTGAATATTACAGGCAGTGAATATTACAGGCTGTGAATATTACAGGCGGTGAATATTACAGGCTGTGAATATTACAGGCAGTGAATATTACAGGCTGTGAATATTACAGGCGGTGAATATTACAGGCGGTGAATATTACAGGCGGTAAATACTACAGGTTGTAAATACTACAGGCTGTGAATACTACAGACGATGAATACTACAGGCTGTGAATATTACAGGCTGTGAATATTACAGGCGAATACTACAGGCTGTGAATATTACAGGCTGTGAATATTACAGGCGGTGAATATTACAGGCGGTGAATATTACAGGCGAATACTACAGGCTGTGAATATTACAGGCGGTGAATACTACAGGCGGTGAATATTACAGGCTGTGAATACTACAGACGATGAATACTACAGGCTGTGAATATTACAGGCTGTGAATATTACAGGCGAATACTACAGGCTGTGAATATTACAGGCTGTGAATATTACAGGCGGTGAATATTACAGGCGGTGAATATTACAGGCGAATACTACAGGCTGTGAATATTACAGGCGGTGAATACTACAGGCGGTGAATATTACAGGCTGTGAATACTACAGACGATGAATACTACAGGCTGTGAATATTACAGGCTGTGAATATTACAGGCGAATACTACAGGCTGTGAATATTACAGGCTGTGAATATTACAGGCGGTGAATATTACAGGCGAATACTACAGGCTGTGAATATTACAGGCGGTGAATACTACAGGTTGTAAATACTACAGGCTGTGAATACTACAGGCGGTGAATAATACAGGCGGTAAACACTACAGGTTGTAAATACTACAGGCTGTGAATACTACAAGCGGTGAATAATACAGGTTGTAAATACTACAGGCTGTGAATACTACAGGCTGTGAATATTACAGGCGGTGAATACTACAAGCGGTGAATATTACAGGCGGTGAATACTACAGGCGGTGAATCACTTGAGCAATAATTTTGTTTGTAAAATGCAATACTAAGACTCCGGGTACTGATGGGTACATTGAGTACATTGTTTGTTGGATAAGCATTTTATTGGGGAGCTTAAGCATCTATGGTATATTTTTTATTTGTTGGTTTTTATATATATTTTGGAAGAATAAAGACTTTTTCTAATAAATTGTCCTTGGTGAGCAGGGTTCACGGTTTTATTTTCTGTATAATTCTCTTAAAGGGACAGTGTGTATCATTTTCTCTGGTTTGTACCTATTCAGCAGGTAGGTGGGAGATTTTTGTCACTCTTTGATTTGTTGCTCAGTTATTTTGTTTATATACCTAACTACCACTAAACATACGACGTACAATAAACTGCTGTGCCTTGCATCATTATAAACACCACTACAATGCTGTCTCTTTAAACCCTCCATGACATGGGGTTAGATAAATTCTATGATATCATCCCAGTCCTGTGACATCATCTATTTTTTTTATTTTTTAAATAAAAGTAATATTTTAAAGAGACTCATCTCCAGGAAGATAGCTCAAAAAGTTAAATAGGTTTAATCACAAACTCCAATACTACAATTCAATAGGTGTGAAGCACGTGATATTTTTTAAGCAATGTGTCTATCTGAGGTATGATTTTATTGACTCACCTTGTGCTTGCTGTAATTATGGTTGAGTTCCCAAGCTTTGCCACTAGGGAGGCTAGGAAGCCTGTGTAATGGTCTCCTTTTAAGCCCTTAGCAGGATTCATTGATTGTTCTGTAAATGTATTTCCTCCCAACCCTTCAAATGAGACATATTTGGCCCCAAGCTTGCTTTTCAGGGAGCTCACAGTGTTCAAATACCAGTTAACAGCAGTTTCACTGGTTATATTTAATCTCACAGAAAACTGCCCCTTCCACTTTGTAAGAACTGGAGACTGCAAAGAAAAAGAAATATAAACGATGGTTAAAATGGAAAATCTACAACACTAATAGACATTTTAATAAAATCTAACTATAGCTTGTACCATATACCAATCAATTAGTGTAACTATTTCTAATTAGTTTTCCATCTTAGACAACTAGACCAAAAAATGATATTTAATAATAAAATGGCTTTTCCATAATCTCTCACAAACCAACATCCTTTGTGAGTGTGTGTGTGTGTGTGTGTGTGTGTGTGTGTGTGTGTGTGTGTGTGTGTGTGTGTGTGTGTGTGTGTGTGTGTGTGTGAGTGTGTGTGTGTGTGTGTGTGTGTGTGAGTGTGTGTGTGTGTGTGTGTGTAGATATATTTGCGAATGGGTCCATATCTAACTGCACTGCACTTACATTCTGAGATATAGACTATCTTTCTTACCTGATTTACTGTCAACCTATACTTATGATGTAAGACCACACCTTGAATTTTGGGCACCTGTTCTAAAGAAGGATAATTATAGCACTAGAAAGAGTGCAGAGATGGGCTACACAATTATAAAAGGAATAGAACATTTTAGCCATGAAGAAAGTTTAACAAATTTAAATCTCCTTAGTTTGGACAAACAGTGCCTGTGAGGGGATATGACAGCATTATACAAATATAATCGGGGCCCACACAAACCATTGTCTGGAAATCTGTTCACAAACAGGACTATACACATAGGACACAAGGTCACGCGTTTAGACTGGTAGAAAGAAGATTTAGTCTAAGGCAAAGGAAAGGGCTTTTTACAGTAAGAACAATAAGGATGTGGAATTATCTACCTGAAGAGATGGTTTTATTGAGTCTGTACAGATGTTTAACTAGCAACTGGATGCATGCTTGCAAAAATATAATATTCAGGGATTTAAATTTGTGGGGTAACAGACCCAAGGAGAGATCTGACTGCCATACTGGGGTAAAGAAGGATTTTTTCCTAATTTGCTAAAAAATTAGAAAGCACTTCCAACTGGGTTTTTGCCTTCTTTTAGATCAGCAGCAAAAACAGATGTGGGGAAGGCAGAGCTTTTCAGCCTATGTAACTTAGCAAAACACAAACAAAAACTGAGAATAGATATTTGCCCAAATGTTAGGATTTAACACATTTTTTAGCCCACCTATAAATGGAACAAATAGGATCCTTTCAGAGCCCAGCCACCTCTAAAGACTGGTAAAAAATGCATTTCCTTCTCCATTTTTACCTTAGTTAGTTCTGCGTGTTGGCCTGGTAGTATTGTGACTACTAAGACACTACTGTTTTAGGGGACATTTTATGATATGGTTCCTTTTTTTACAATGTAGCAGTTCCTAGTGAAGATATTATTGCAAACTTCTACATTCATCGCTCTACTTCCTTGGTGATATGGTGGTTCCTTGCCTGGCCTGGCCTTTCTTCTGCTATGCCAACTGAAAATGATTCTGGGAGCGTTGTAGACCATCCCACCTCTTTGGCTGTGTCTCAGTGCACTGAGGTCAAATAAGTTCACTAGGGTGTTGCTAGGTTTCAAAAACACAAGGGTCTTAGCCCGAAGCACACCACAAAACATCCCATAAAACCACTGGTTTTAAGTTAATTGAACGTGTGTTACCCATGGAGCTTTTCATTCAAGATACAAGATAACAGTAACTGCGTATTATTTTATAGCATGGTTTTTATAGCATGCAGACTGCTCAGTTTGGAACATTATTATTTTGTTTTACTTTACTATCACATGGCAGTATAAATAAATTTACACTTTGTAATTTACTTGCATACCTATTTGTTTCTATTACAACAGTATTTAAACTCCTAAACTGGTGGGTATACATTGCTGACAGTACCAGTGAGCCGTCGAGTTTTGAATGAAGACTGAGCCAGTAGTTTTCATTCTCTTCCCGCAGGTACATCTGAAATGGCTCTGAGTTGATATTGGCATACAGTGATGTGGTTAATAACAAATTTAAATTCTTAAGGAGATATGGATCTCGTCTGTGTCTTTGCAGCTTCTCTCCTTGGTTCATACTGAGTTTGTGGTCCTACAGAGAGAAAAGAAAAATTAGCAATCACATTTTTTAACAGAGCAAAAAATTTGTTGTGCAGTCTAAAAAGAGGCTATCTTCCCCACTACAGCTCAGTGCAGTGGTTATGGTAAAACGATGGTGATCGCTGATTACAGACTAAAAGCAGAAGATGTTATAGTTATTAGAGTGCTCTTTAAGCCAATGGTCATGATATTTTATAGATAATTACACATTTAATGATTTTTGCCGCTTTAGTTAGAGGACACACGTTTACATTATATTTCATGTTACGCTTACATGCCTGATGGAAAGAGCTATTTCTTACAAAAACTGTCATGGAGTGACCTATGGCTTAAACCAAAGGTTTCGGCTCTTCTAAGAAAAATTGATATTCTCACCTTACTAGAAAGTAACATTGTGGAATGTTCATTAATAGCAATCAGGCATTCCCCCAATCCAAGTCTTCTGAGCTTATTATTAAATGATCGTAATTCTCTTTCAAGCTTTGCTGCAGAATCAGATATTCCGTAGTGTTTCCATAACGGCATCCTGCATATAAAATAAAAATAAAAAATGAGAAAACATTCAAAATTCTAAAACGTCAATGTCTGTGTCACTATATTAAGTCGACTTTGGTCCATGCAAAACTCCATGCAATTTACACAAAAAAACAAACAATGACAACAAAATAACTAAACATTCTATTAATATCTACTTGATTGCCAGTGGTGCGAGCAATTAATTACTGGGACTAACCATAGCTCACAGTGAATCATTTGACTAGCAAACATTTAGGATTATGTGACGGCTGATATTTTGTCATGGAATCATTTGTAATGAAGAATGATTTGTGGGCAGTGTGAAACATTTGACTATCACAAGGTAAACTTTAACAGGATGCAAAAAGTCATCAGATAAATCGGTATTAGAATGGGATTACCAGAGTATATCCATGCTTGGAAGCCGTCTCGGCTTCTCGTACAGCAGGCTTTCCATTTCATGATGGACAGATTGGATGGTTTCGCCAACGCACACTGTATACTGCAGTGGAGACATGTCTGTACTTGGTGGTGTCTCCACACAAAATGATTTATTCCTGTCTATAGAAACGGACACTGGAACATCTGGGTTGATCAATACTGCTACGCCTGTTGAAAATAAAGAAAAATGTAAGAAAGTCCTGTCAAACAATGGAATGATCCATTATACAAAGCTGACCAGTACATTGGCTCTTTTTAGGAAATTGATTAGTAATAGAGCAACATGGCTGATGTGCCGAAGTGTCCACCACTTGTTTCTTTCTACATACTATATTTACTTGCTATGAGTGAGAGATCAAAGGTGTTAGCAATCCAATCCCTCATGGTTTGGTCTATGGAGCCGAAAGAGTTGGGACTGTAATAGCAAAATATTCAAGACTTTCATGGCTTCTTTGTGGCAGTGTCTGAGTGCACTAGAATATAAGATCACACACTCATGATCTATTGTAGCAGTCTGCAATCCAACAGATTAGAATGTGGAGTTTCTATGGTCTGTTCCAATGGTGATATGGAAAAAATATGGACCAGAGGTTTGGTTTACAATAAACTACACTAGGAATGTTCTATCCACTAAAAAAAGCCATGTGAAAAAAAATAGTGTACAGCGTTCTTTGGGTCTTGGCACTCTTTTAACTTTCCTCAAAGTATAACAAAGAATGGTCCATTAACCCCTTAAAGACACATGACGGAAATATTCCCTCATGATTCCCTTTTATTTTTGAAGTTGTGTCCTTAAGGGGTTAAATATTAATTAATGATCTTTAATTTTTCAAATGCACATCACCTCCTCTAACTGTAAATTTACTGATATCATGTAATATATTTCTGGATGCTAGCTAAACTTATCAATTTTATTTAAAAAAAATAATAAACACAAGAAAAAAATTAAAATTAAAATGGATCCAAAATGGTCTCTAGGAGTGAGGACACGGTGAGCCTCTACCTCTGAGTAGGTAAAATTAACTTGTATATATGCCACTGAGTATGCAATACCATAAAGTACAGGAGAGGATCTCTCTCTGGAGGACAGACTGAAATAGACATTTCAATCGAGGCATTCGGAAGAAATATAGACACTACGCATTTGTTACTGAACACTGGCACAGAGCCAAACAGTAATGAATCGTCAACAACAGAATCTCCACGCAGGTTATCTAACTTACAATATCAGGGAGATAGACAGACACTGTATAAATAGATAGATAGATAGAGATAGACAGACAGACAGACAGACAGAATAGAATAGAATAGAATGATAGATAGATGATAGATAGATAGATAGATAGATAGATAGACAGTCCCATTAGAAACCTTATCTATGGAGAAGTCTACCTTGTAGTGATGAAGAGATTGCCATTGTGTTAACCAATTCTTCTCCAAAGATCAGACCAAATGTTGGTCTCAGAGCCTAAACCTAGGTATTACTAGACATGTTACACTTTCTTTCAGTGTATTACAGTTCATTACGAGTTCAAATTCATAGAATAAGCACTTAGGTCATACAAGCTGGTAATTTCAACACATAAAAGAATTCACAAGAACTTACCAGTTGATCCTAAGAAGTATCGCTCTAGAACTGACCCATAGGCTGAAGGACTGGATTTAAGGTTGCTGATGATAAAAGGCTGAAGTGCCATGTTCATATTGTTCATAGGCCAGTGCTGAGCACTCGTACTTGCTCCTCCATACCAGAATATGTCCGTCATTGAAAAGCAATCCTAAAAAAGAACACCCAATGATCGATATTTCTCTGTCACTCATGAAGCCACACATAGGCAGAAGGCACAGAAGTGATAGCAGGAACAATGAATGAAGCCGTGCAATCTTTGCAAGCAAGCACAAATGGGCAGAGAAATGAAATAATGATTAATGAGAAGCAAATATAACATTGTGTGAGATTCTTACTGTCATGCACCCCCGACAACCATTCAAAAAATGTAAACTGGGGGACAAGATGGCTCCAAGCTATACACTTTTACAATGTTCTCAGCATTCATTCATAAACGCTGCGGGCACTCACATTTTGCCATTCATTCGGAGAAAAGGACATTGAATTGGGAAGCCTTGAAAGCTGTTTGGATCTGAGCTAATTCCCTTTTAGTTACATTTTCAATGCCAGCTTACCTCGACGTACTACTTCTGCTCTGTTGGTTAATCTATAGATCTGTTTAAGTCACAATCGATTTCAGAGTGTGAGGGGCCACTCAGCAAGATCACGTTTCCCCCTCCCATACTGTTTATCATGCCATCTTCCAGCCATTGTTCTGTCTCCTCTGTCAGGGTAGGAAAGAGCTTTGCTATATTATGTACACGCTACCTACATGCCCAAACAGTAAGTTGGAGCTTAGCTAGCTGTGAGACAGACCAGGTGGAATCATATTGCCTTTTGTGTGCCCAAAGAGCCATTTATCTGTAGACAACACAGACATCATCAAACATACCTTCCAACATTTTAAATGGCATAGACTCAGGGGATGACTGAACCCACACAAAAGTCCAAATTTGCACAGAATCAATATTAGACAGCCCTCAGTTTTGCTCTGTGCTGGCTAATGATGCTGCCGTAGGTGGTGTTCCATCTTGTCAGGATATTTATATCGGCAGACATTTTGTGCAAAGATAGAAATTAAAAGTGTATATTCTGAGTCACTCTGAACAGACCAGACTCCATTTTGTTATTTTCAAGTTAACAAAAAGACACAAGATTTCTTTCTGTAAGACTAGCCACTTTGCCAGAGCTAAAAGGAATGCATAGTATAAACAAGTGATAAGAAGAATATAATCAAATCTAAACCCAGACAATTGTGACAGAGAAGATTAAATAATACAATTTAACTGTCTATACATATAAGGTCCCATTGTAAGTTACGGGTCAAAACTCAGATTGCCAGACACATAGTCTGGACAAAACTTAAATAAACCCTTTGATCTGTGAAGGATACGTACGTTATGGCCACTATCTAGATAGGCCAAAATGACGTCAAAATAGCCACCAGGAAAAGTTAACTCTTTCCTGGATAGGTATGTTTAGTGGGACAAGACTGCCCTCTATAGACCAAATACCTAGATTGCGATCTAGAAGATAACTACACCTCTAGTGCTTCTATTGGGTTATCAACTGATGACGTACAGAGAGTCTGGCCCTTTAAAAGTTAAGACAAAGGGAAGATAGGAAAAATGCGAGGCAAGGTATGCAAGAGATGCAAAGGAAAAAGAAAAGAGGAGAGAGGAATTGGAAGTTTGGGGTCTCCAACCTCCATGCAGAGAGACATCCAAATAAGTTCCTGAGACTACCAATCGGATGAAATATCTACTCAACTGGTAATTATACTGGTTTCATTTAATTAATTAAATTAATTAAAATGTATTAATAGCATTATATATGACTGGATAAAGCACGGTCAGATTTCCATATTAAGAAATCTTAGTTAACTAAAGAATATATAGTTATAAACATTCCATTCTGCAGGTGGAATTAAGAATAATTATATATTGATGTGATATTATCACGTGTTAGCATACCGCTGTTTTTATCCAGGTGTATTGATTTGTTCTAAATTAAGATAAGATATCTTTTAGACAAATTAAACTCTGCTTATATAATCATGGTAGATTCTCTTATTGGATGGTTCCAGGAAATGACTAATGAACTGGTTTAAATGTTATTTTATTTAAAATTACATAAGAATAGATCTTAACTATCTAGGAGATCTAGCCAGCATTGAAAGGGTTATTCTAACTGTCAGCTAAACTTTACGACCTTACGCTGCACTCTGAGGAATTCTGTTCTTCGCTGTGAAAAGTTTCACTTTCAGTCTGTGTTAAAGATAGTCATAAATAAAGTCTTGACAGAAAATGCTTTTTAGCCATTGAAACGTAATACCCATTTCTTTGTATTGCATATCATTTTATACTGAATATTCATTGATTATTATCACGCATGTTACATGTTATTATTAATTAACTTGTTATTATAAATAAAAATCTATTTTTATAAAACTGTGAATATTATTTATATGGTATACATTTCACTTAACACGATAACGATATTTGGGATCTGAGAATTGAATTAGTGGGCAATTCTCAACTGTTTACTATTATTATCCCATAAATATCCCCACAATCTAAGGAATTAATCTCTGTATGTGCAGTGATTCATAGCAAGGATCTGCATCTACTGACTTCAGACACCATAACCATTTCAAATCAATGAAGTGGGCATCAATCGATAATTCACTAATCAACTGATAATTCAAGAACCTCCGGAACTTTCCTCTCCACTGCCAACCCAAACAAGATGCTCATTACAGTGTGCCCGTGTGAACAAGCAAGTTAGTGGGAGGGTGGCCAAAACATCTTTGCATTCATACCCTCTTAGCCTTCCCTACTCTCTAGTTATAGCCCTGACATTCTGTGATTTCATTGAAACTTATCACATTGTCCTCAATTTAATATTTTTGGATAAGCTTTACAAATGATCACAATCTGTTAGAAAACCTTTTCAAATTATTTATCTACAAAGGTTTCCTTAGACTCTAATGTAGATAAATAATTTGAAAATGTATTCTTCTAACAGATTGTGATTATTTTTAAAAAGCGTTTCTAAAATATTAAATCGTGGCCATTGTCATACTTTATATTTAGTGGGGGAATTCCATTTGGTAAGTACATTTGTTAAATGATAGCGGCTGACCCTTGAATTCCGCAAAACTCAACCAGAGAGCACACTATCTGGGTACAAATAGCTAGTTATTATTAATTTATGAGCGTTACATCCGGACCACATGCTTAAAATATCTTATACGAGTGCAGGGAGAGGCATGTGTATGGATTGCACTAGCAAATAGTTTTTTCAGCAGTTAGCAGCATGTCCAGTCCAAGAGAAAAAAAAACTATTGCAGTCCATCCAATCTTTCACTACAATTACTCTCTCTTCTATCACGTCTGCGAAACGTTAATTCTTCCGATTTCCATGCACCCTCTCAAACAGCTTCACTAAATAATTTGTTTACTCTCTCCATCAGTTTCTTGGCAAGGGTGGTGACCTCCTGTCCTGAGAATGAAATCTAAATTGGGTGACAGCATTTTCGTTACATGAGTAATGTTGTACCACCTGGGAATTTGGAAAGAGAGAGATCGAGAGTTGGTGGCTAGAGCTCTAATGTTAGCACAATAACATTCAAAAGAATTATGTATGTAAAATGAAAACCAACTGTACCGGACAAAAGAGTATACGTTGTAATGAATGTTTTAAATTAGTATGGTTTAAAAAAAGACACAAAAAGCACAAGAAAACCTGATCTTTTCAACCTACGATCTCTGCAACCCATGGTCTTTGTGTAGGTTGCAGGGTAGTCTGTTGCCTGTCTTTTTACACAAAGTGGAGTTTGCTCAGTAAAGAGTCCATCGAGATATGTGGGAGATACAGGTCTTTCTATACACCAGTAAATCATGTTTTTACTGCGATTTCCATTCAAAATAGGTGATCCACTACAAAGATTGTTCTTTTGTCTCTGCTTTTATGCCAGATTTATGAGCCTGTACTCATTCATCTTCATCGAAGGAATGGTTCTGTAGTTTTCAATAAACTATCATGCACATGAAATGGAATGAACTTATCATACAAGCGTCATCTTGGTATGTTTAGGCCTTTGAGAATTTCACAGTTAGTCTATAGGATATCAACAATTAAAATGTGATAATGTGCAGAAAATGGATTGAATACACCAGTTTTCAAACTGGCGTAAGTACGGCTCTGTAGAATGAATGTCTAAGCCCCATTTAAAAAAAATGTCTATTGCAACACAGTAACAGGTTTGGTGGTGTCTGGCATTCGATTGTACATCTTAAGCCTCATGCCCCCATGTACCGAATGGTTATATCCCACTTATGTCTTATTTGGGGTATTCACAAACTGTTGAAATAAATGGTGACTGTTGTTCAATAAATAGACTGCCTGTGCCTTATGGACGTTGAATAGCACAGTTGCTGGAGCACAAAGTATTGCCTATCTATGGTCTGTGTGCAATACTCATCCTGATTCAGGTTCTTTAATGCTGTGCTGTGCATTCAGGTGCGTTATAAGAGATTTATGAGTTATGTGTACAGCTTGTCACCAGTTAATGGAAAAAATGACAGGATCTGGCAGGGTGACAAATTATCAGATCACGGATGTCTAAGCCCGATTTCTTTTTTTGCCAAAGCCAATCCTCCCTAATCACTCAACACAAGACCTGTTCATCCCACAGAACATGTTATCGGCCCAACACGAATAAGCTTGTTTTTCACGTCTGCAGGAAAACTACTGCTCGACTAATGTTGTCCAACATCATCTGTGATCACGGCTCTACAACTGTTAGATGGTCAAATACTCATAATATCTGAAGGAACAAGATAACAAAGTGGGGGGTGCAGTGTACAGATAAAAAGCAAAACACGTATATACTTATAGTAAAACGTTCCTTTAGCTTAATCTGAAAAACATAAAAAGTCCATACATAGTGTAACACTGTAAAATATAGGACAAGTAGATGTAGAGGTATTGGGTCACTCACAATAGATAGAGCCTAGAAAGCAGGCTCAGACTTGATGGCATGTGGAAAATCAGCTTTCCCAAGCTTTACAGACTGGCTCCACACTCCTCCTATAGGTACTGGTATTCTGCTCCAGACGTAGGAAGGATTGATGATAGACCAAAGTATAATGGTATTAAAAAGTATTTACTTCAAATAAAACAATAAAATAAACCGTGTTATTGTATGTAATACTATTTTATATTACATTTTATTTTATTGTTTTATTTGAAGTAAATACTTTTTAATACCATTATACTTTGGTCTATCATCAATCCTTCCTACGTCTGGAGCAGAATACCAGTACCTATAGGAGGAGTGTGGAGCCAGTCTGTAAAGCTTGGGAAAGCTGATTTTCCACATGCCATCAAGTCTGAGCCTGCTTTCTAGGCTCTATCTATTGTGAGTGACCCAATACCTCTACATCTACTTGTCCTATATTTTACAGTGTTACACTATGTATGGACTTTTTATGTTTTTCAGATTAAGCTAAAGGAACGTTTTACTATAAGTATATACGTGTTTTGCTTTTTATCTGTACACTGCACCCCCCACTTTGTTATCTTGTTTTATCACTGTTTGGAAGTGTCTTTTGAGTGATTTATAGACACTGGGGGTAGTTGCTGCTTTGTTCTTTAGCGCCAATCCACCTATACCTATTCCTTCCCTTGGGGTGGAATTTTGTTTTTTGATAATATCTGAAGGCATTCCTTCAAAAATAACAGTAATAGACCTTTTAAACACATGATATTTCAATTACCAATATACATATGCAATTGTCAAAACTTAATATATAGTTTTAGATAAGCCTACAATGTCCATTTGACATGTAAACAGTCAGTCAACCCCTAGAGGTGTATTTAACCCTGCAGTTTACGCATTGACATAGCTAATAAACAGTAATGCTTTAACCCCTTAAGGACCTCGGACGTATCAGGTACGTCAGACAAAAACGGTCGTTAACGACCTCGGACGTACCTGATACGTCCGTGGCGAATTAGAGCTCACGAATCGATCAGGATCGCTTCCAGCCACTCTGATGGTACTGCAGCAATACTTCAATGTCGAGGCATTACGCAATAGCCCCCCTCACTGCCAGGCCACCAGGGTTGCTCCACATGGTGCCGGGTAGTGAGGCAGAGCATCAGAAGCCATCGGGCAGGTCGAGGCACTCAGTGAAGAATGTAGCCCCCAATATTTTTGGGAGGTGTTTCTGGGTGATGATGTATTGGGGAACATTGTCACCCAAACTAATTTATATGCCCATCAGTTCCGTGCTGCAAAGCCTGACTCTTTTTTGGCAAAGTAGCAATGGGTCCCCATCAAATGGGCAATGGGTGCCATAAAAAAAAAATTCTGGGCATTGACTATGCTGATGGGCATCATAAAGAAGCCCTCCATCCACTCCTACTGGAGTAGTAGCCCCATCTGCTCTACCCCCATTTACTCCCAGTGTATGTCGAGGAAGAGGTATGAAATGATTCTACTTTTCATGCACTTCAGCGACAACAGCCTGTGCCCCTCTAGGGAGCATCCCCAGTTTGACAGGCTGTATAAAATCCGCCCCCTGATTACCCACTTCGCTGCCATGTTTGCAGAGGCTTATACACCTGGAAGGAATATATGCGTGGATGAATCCCTGATGAAGTATAAGGGAAGGGTGGGATTCAAGCAGTATGTTCCTTCCAAGCAGGTATGGTGTAAAGGTGTATAAGCTCTGAGATAGCGAGACTGGGTATACTTAGGCCTTCCGGGTGTACGAGAGAAAGGATACCCACCTTGACCCTCCAGGTTGGCCAGAACATATGGAAACTAGTGGCAAGATTGATGAACAAAAGGTACCACTTGTATATAGATTATACAAATGTCCCTTTGTTCAAGCTACTGTATTGTTTTGATACAGTAGCTTGCGGTACAATGAAAAAGAACCACGCAGGTTTCCCAGGACAACTTGCATGCACCCAGCTACGGAGCGGGGAGACGTGAGCTCTGCGCCAAGAGGAGCTGTTGGCAGTTACATACAGAGACAAGAAGGATGTGTACCTTCTTACCACCATTCACACTGAGAGGACTGTGGAGGTCTCTGTTCGTGGTAGAGATGAGAGCACAAGGAAGCCAGTGGGCATCAAGGCCTATAACCGGCACACGGGTGGGGTTAATCTGGCAGATCACCTGCTGCAGCCCTACCTAATTATACGGAAGACAAAGGCCTGGTACAAAAAGGTTGCAATTTACCTGATGCAGATTGAAGCCCACAATGCTTTTTTGTTGTTTAAAAAAGCAAACCCCGGAATGACACTGACTTTTTTACAGTTTCAGCTCCAGATCATTTTGGGGATTTTGTATCAAGATGCACCTGATCCCTGGGCGGTGATGGGAGAGAGCAGAGTTGGGGCTAACCACTTCATTTTTAAAGTCCCCCCTACTGCGGCAAAGCAGAATCCCCAAAAAAGATGCAGAGACTGTTTCAAGAGGGGGCAAAGAAAGGACACCGTCTACTACTGTCCCAATTGCCCTGGACAGCCTGGACTCTGCATTGGGGGCTGCTTCAAACAATATCACACATTGGTCCATTTTTATTATTATTTTCATTTGCCGTTCAGTTTTGGGTTTTTTTTTGTTACCATTACTGTTCCTGAGATTTTATTTTTTTTACTTTTACTGCGCCAGACTATTTTTATGATCAAGTTTAACCTATGCATGGTGGGCATGGGTGTTCTCAGGAGGCCTTGCAGAAAACAACCTGGAGTGTTTTCTTCCAATAACCAACAACAGGCTCCCCTAAATCACACACAAATGTATATGTAAAAATCCAAATTGAAGAATTACCACCACACACTTTCTCCAATTTTTGGGGCTAAAACAGTTGCATCAAAGGCATCAAAACACTCCATATATAATACCTTTGGGTGTCAACATTTCAAATATATGCACGTTCATGGCAAGAAAATAAATTGGGATATGTAAAAAGGCCCCCAAAAAAGAACATAGGCAAAGAAGATATGTCAAATTTGAAAAACACATGTCAGAAGTTTGGCATTGCACCCCCCAAACAACCCAACAAACCTATGCATAGGTGGTATCACTTTACTCATGAGATATTGCTGAACACATACTGGGGTGTTTTTTGGCAGTGAAACATACCAGGAGCTGAGAATCTATGCCTAACATACAATGTGAGAGAACACTAACACAAAAAAATGACTACCCAAAAGGTTGACAATGACGTGTGGGTGAATTAGTGCATGGAAAGTGTTAAAATACCTCCATTAAAAATAGCCTAGTGTGTCTGTTTTTCAAAAATTATGGTTTGATGGGGGTAAATTACACTGGCCAGCTTCAAACATGTCCCAAATAGGACATGGGTGCATGATGACCAGCTGTGAAAATTCCAGGTTGGAAAACTGGAATGCGCACCCTCCAAATAAGGTCTTTTAGCCCCCAAAGAACCCGACACACCTATACATGGGTGGTATCACTGTACTCAGGAGATGTTGCTGAACACATATTGGGGTGTTCTTTGGCAGTGACCCTTAAAGTTCTCAGTAAATGTATTATTAAATTGCTATGTGATTGGTGGTAAAATGGTTGCATGAAAAGAGTCAAAATATGCAAAGTTTAATACCTTAGGTTGTCTTCTTTTAAAAAAATATATACATGTGAAGGGTTATTCAGGGATTCCTGACAGAGATCAGTGTTACAATGTAACTTTCGTTAATTTTAAAAAAATAATGGTTTGGAAATAGCAAAGTGCTACTTGTACTTGTTGCCCTATAACTTGCAAAAAAAAAACTACGAACATGTTAACATTGGGTATTTCTAAACTCAGGTAACAGATTTTTGGGGTAAAAGTTTTAAAACGTGTTTTTTTAAAACATTTTTCATGATATTTTATAATTTGTTTTATAGTAAATTATATGATATGATGAAAATAATGTTATCTCTAGAAAGACCATTTAAAGACGAGTGTGGGTACAGTAAATAAGTAAGAGGAAAATTACAGCTAAACAAAAACACCGCAGAAATGTAAAAACGGCTCTGGTCCCAAATGGTAAGAAAATTGAAAAGCGGTCTGGGGTTAAATTACAAGGTTAAGCTTTGAGGACCACTGACCCCAGATGATATCTTCATTGAGATGAAGGGGTCTGGGTGCCTTTAGTGGTCCTTTAATGGTGTTCTAATAGTTCTAAATAAAACTGGGTTATGGGATGTTTCTCGTTTGTTAAATTTCTTTTGGCAAAGAACTGCAATCTCAACAAAAACTATGGATCCTGAATTTAGTGTATAATAATTTGGCAACGGAGTCTATATTGTGCTATACTGTTCTATATTGTTATATTAGTGGGTCCTGGCTACGTCTAAATAGTGCAGACAAAAAATATTTGACCCAAGGTTAGTGGGGAAGGGCAAGGAAGTTGTAGTTCATAATTGTACTTGTTTTTGCTTGGAAACAATGTTTGTTTGTTTTAATAAATATTCATTTAGTCTATGGAAACTACACAATTGAATGCAATATTGAAAATCACTTTCTACTTGTGTTAATAACCTTTTTTTCATGTGATTCTCCATCTTTTTCTAAATGTATAGTAAAGACTTTTCATGATAACCCACGGAGTCTCGTCCAGTACAAGCACAGCCACATTGCTAATGAGGAATAAAACAGAATCATTTATTCTCTTTATCTTCTTCCACTAACTGTGGCCGTCATAGCATTCCAGCCAATCACAAATAGGTGAAAACAGACAATATTTATCAACTGTGTTAAGTGGCAAGAATTAAATCGAGGCCTATGTTCATTGGCAGAAATAGGCAACATTTATAAAGATGACTGACAGAGAGCCAACATGGAGCTGCCATGATAAATGTTTAATGTTAGAAACGTGCAATTTGTTTTGTTCTGAATCAAATTCCATCCAAATTTGTCAATTTAAAAACGTCAAAATTTCCACATTTTTTTACAAACTCAAATGAATCGAAAATGAATGAATTTGAAACTAATTCCAATTATTTCGTATCCATTCATTTCCATAAGGAGGGCAAATCAGGGACTTGTTTATTAAGCAGCTGAATCATCAAAATTACAAAAAGGGCTTTTTTTTTTCTTAATTTTCATCTTTCAGCTTCCATTTCATGAACAGTTGATGCAACTTTGTGCACATTTGTGTAAAATCTGTAGCACCTATAAAAATGAATATATCAACTTATTAATTATATTATAATAATATTAATAATAACTTTTAATATACGCAGGAGTGGGCAGCTTTGGCACCTACAGATGTTGAAGACATCTCCCATAATGCTCTCACAGTCATAATGCTGGCAAAGCATCGGGGATGATGTAGTCCACGACATCGGGAGTGCTGAAAGTTGCCACCTCTGATATAAGGCATTTTCACAATTCTCCAGTTGAGGGAAAGACCAAATGTGCCTTTAGATACTGATTATGAGAGCAGTGGATGTAATCAGTCGAGACTTTGTAGATAGTGGTCTTTAGCATACCTGTCACCAGGGTTCAATCACTCCACTCTTCAGTAACCATTGAAGAGTGAAAATTTAGCCCTGGCAAGTACAAATTCACAAAGACCCTCTAGGCTTGCAATGGAGAGTAACTTTAAAAGCCTGCAAAAACCTTGGATTTTAAATTGCACGCTGCCCTTGCAGAACTTAAACTTTCCATGGATACAAATAATGTCATGCAGGTCGAGTCATACTGATGGTAGTTGCAGGGATGTATGATGTCACACATCAAAACATCCTTCATCTATTGATCCATATATCTATCAATCCATACATATAGCATAAATAGAGCCATCCACCGATCTGTGCAAAACGAGGCTATGATTTCCCCAGGCAAACAGCTGCTAGCCCTCCCCTGAACTGTATCAGATGGCCATATTTGCCCTGATGTGTTTAAACGTCTGCTCTTAACTTGGGCAACTCAGAATTGCAATCCTTTAAATAATTGTATCTCCGCTTGTTTTACTCTACGTCTGGCACCATTAAAGCCACCTCCTTGAGCTTTGCCTATCACCTTTTTGATAGCTCTCCTATGAATTAATTTTCGGTTCAGTGAATTAAAAATAAAAATAAAATATTAGGCTCTGCTGGCATGAGAAGCCTCTCTGGGAATTATCATTTCTATCCAAGCTTACAAATAATTAAATAAGCTTAATTATACAATACTTTCCCTAGCAGTCTAGCAGTGAAGTGATTAGCAGCGAGTGCAATAATTAACTACTTTTCACTAATAGCACAGAAAAGGATTATTGAAATATTAATGCCAACAGGATTAGTTAATCTTTTACCTCTCTTGCAAAATAAAGGACAGTTTAAATTAATCCCATAAGCAGCAACGGAAAGAGTTCAAAAGGGGATAAACATCAGGAAATCATTATATTCTCCGTACTGCAAAATGTGGGGAACAGTAGTACAGAGAATTAACATTACCATACGTATTCACTGAAATTATATATATATACTGATCAGCCACAACATTATAACCACTGACAGGTGAATTGAATAACATTGATTATATCGTTACAATGGCACTTGTCAGGGGGTGGGATATATCAGGCAGTAAGTAAACAGTCAGTTCTTGAATTTCAGTGCAACAAATGCAAATTGGCGTTAAACAGTGTGTCCAAACCCTACAGTGAAATCAATCACCTAATTTCACCAGGAAAACAATAGACAAACAGTACTTATAGTGGGTGAGGTGCAAGGAGGGACAACCAGCGAACCAGCGTCAGAGTCATGGGTGCCAAAGGCTCACTGACGTACATGTGGGGATGTGAGCATCAGAAATCGTCCATGGGGCAATGGAAAAGGGTTAAACCCCATTTTCTTTTAGAATAGATTGATAGCCGGATGCATGTACATTTTTTATCTGGGAAAGAGATGGCTAGGATGCACTATGGGAAGCAGGCGGGCCGGCGGAGGCAGTGTTATATTCTGGGTAATGTTCTGCTGGGAATCTTTGGGTCCTACCATTCATGTGGATGTTACTTTGACACGTACCACCTACCTAGAGACTGTTGCAGACCATGCATATGCCATCATGGCAATATTGTTCTCCAATGGCAGTGGCCTCTTTCAGCAGGATAATGCCACACTGCAAAAAATCTTCAGGAATGGGTTGAGGAACATGACAAAAAGTTCTATGTTTTGCCTTGACTACAAATTCCCCAGGTCTCAGATTGAGCATCTGTGGGATGTATTAGGACAACAAACCCATCCATGGAAGTCCCACCATACAACTTGCAGGACCTAAAGTTTGAAATTGAGTTGAAACTTCAGGATCTGTCTGACTCTCTGGAGGTACTTGGATCCTCCTTTCCTCTTCCTCATGGTTGCCATGTGTTTGTGGTACCCCAGGTAGCTGTTCTCTACATCTCCTAGTTGACCTTCTGGTACTTGAACTCTTTCTGTCCTGATCATCTTCCCTGTTTTTGCCATCATTCGCCCACACTTATCTAGTACGAATGTCACTCCAATGTCCTTGCTACATATCCTAGTTAGGTGGATCAGTGAGTCAACGTCCTGCTCATGCTTGACATCCAGCAGTGTGTATATGTGTGCTTGTATAAGTGTGTGTATATCTGGCAATGCAAAGTTAAAGTGGCAACATATGTTAAATATGCAATATGCATACATATACAATACATGTGGAAACATGTACAAAGAATATATAGGTTTATATATGTAAAAGGATTATAGAATATGTGGTAAAAATATCTGATACTGTTTTCTGATCTGTAACATTATTATTTGGTAAATTAGTTTTTTTGCTTAACCAAAATGTTAATTTTTGTTTCCAATGACCTCTTCACACCGTCACTTATGTATACATGACCGTCAGGCTATGTAACCCACGATGGTGTATAAACAATTAGTATAATTGCAAATGAAATTTGTTTATTGCAAATTAATTTAGGTTTTACATTATGCCATAACTACCATCAGAGAGCTCACAACGCAGTGGCACAGGGAGCCGCAACACTTAGTAAGATGTGGATATAGATGGCAGCTCCCGCAAGTGACAGGTTAAGGTAAGTAAACTCACCTTTACCTGCCCCGCACGGCCACTGGACCACCAGAGGCGATGTCACCATCGGGGACTATTCGAATTTGGCAAATTCCCCAAATGATGACAGTGCCTCTCTGAAACAGGATGTGACAAAATATATTACATGAGAAAAGGACAGTTTTAGTGAAGTTCACTAGGAAGACGGCAGAAAACAAAGAACAGAAATATGTTTTGAAGGTGAAATTGGGTAAATTGAGTCAAATTACTTGGGTAGTCTGGTAAATAGAATTGATGGTAGCTTGTTTATTGTTAAAGGACACTAACATGCGATGGTTTGTGTTTGAGCTAGGGAAGAAAATGTTCTGTTATGGAGGGACTCGGAAACAGTAGTATTTCAGTATGAAGTACTGGAGTGACTGTTAGCAGCACAAGGCCAAGAGAGAGATCAAAATGTATCAGGCTATCGGCATACTTGTAGTACAGGAGTCCAAATTAGGTTATTGGATTGCCAGAAGACACCAACATATTCATGTCTAACCCAAAGTGTAAATAATGTAAATAATCACGTGGCTATAATCACTGCTGGTTGGCCACTCTGTTTTATTACGTGGCTATAATCACTGCTGGCTGGTCATTCTGTTTTATTACGTGGCTATAATCACTGCCGGTTGGCCGCTCTGTTTTATTACGTGGCTATAATCACTGCTGGCTGGTCACTCTGTTTTATTACGTGGCTATAATCACTGCTGGTTGGCCACTCTGTTTTATTACGTGGCTATAATCACTGCCGGTTGGCCACTCTGTTTTATTACGTGGCTATAATCACTGCCGGTTGGCCACTCTGTTTTATTACGTGGCTATAATCACTGCTGGCTGGTCACTCTGTTTTATTACGTGGCTATAATCACTGCCGGTTGGCCGCTCTGTTTTATTACGTGGCTATAATCACTGCCGGTTAGCCACTCTGTTTTATTACGTGGCTATAATCACTGCTGGTTATCCACTCTGTTTTATTACGTGGCTATAATCACTGCTGGTTGGCCGCTCTGTTTTATTACGTGGCTATAATCACTGCTGGTTGGCCATTCTGTTTTATTACGTGGCTATAATCACTGCTGGTTGGCCACTCAGTTTTATTACGTGGCTATAATCACTGCTGGTTGGCCACTCAGTTTTATTACGTGGCTATAATCACTGCTGGTTGGCCATTCTGTTTTATTACGTGGCTATAATCACTGCTGGTTAGCCACTCTGTTTTATTACGTGGCTATAATCACTGCTGGTTAGCCACTCTGTTTTATTACATGGCTATAATCACTGCTGGTTAGCCATTCTGTTTTATTACGTGGCTATAATCACTGCCGGTTGGCCACTCTGTTTTATTACGTGGCTATAATCACTGCCGGTTGGCTGCTCTGTTTTATTACGTGGCTATAATCACTGCCGGTTGGCCGCTCTGTTTTATTACGTGGCTATAATCACTGCTGGTTGACCGCTCTGTTTTATTACGTGGCTATATTCCCTGCCGGTTGACTCTGTTTTATTACGTGGCTATAATCACTGCTGGTTGGCCGCTCTGTTTTATTACGTGGCTATAATCACTGCCGGTTAGCCATTCTGTTTTATTACGTGGCTATAATCACTGCCGGTTGGCCACTCTGTTTTATTACGTGGCTATAATCACTGCCGGTTGGCCACTCTGTTTTATTACGTGGCTATAATCACTGCCGGTTGGCCGCTCTGTTTTATTACGTGGCTATAATCACTGCTGGTTGGCCATTCTGTTTTATTACGTGGCTATAATCACTGCTATAATCACTGCTTGACCGCTCTGTTTTATTACGTGGCTATAATCACTGCCGGTTGACCATTCTGTTTTATTAAGTGGCTATAATCACTGCCGGTTGGCCACTCTGTTTTATTACGTGGCTATAATCACTGCCGGTTGGCCACTCTGTTTTATTATGTGGCTATAATCACTGCCGGTTGACCATTCTGTTTTATTACGTGGCTATAATCACTGCTGGTTGGCCATTCTGTTTTATTACGTGGCTATAATCACTGCCGGTTGACCATTCTGTTTTATTACGTGGCTATAATCACTGCTGGTTGGCCACTCTGTTTTGTTACGTGGCTATAATCACTGCCGGTTGGCCTCTCTGTTTTATTACGTGGCTATAATCACTGCTGGTTGACCACTGTTTAATTACGTGGCTATAAATCACTGCTGGTTGGCCACTCTGTTTTATTACGTGTTTATAATCACTGCTGGTTGGCCACTCTGTTTTATTACGTGGCTATAATCACTGCCGGTTGGCCACTCTGTTTTATTACGTGGCTATAATCACTGCTGGTTGGCCACTCTGTTTTATTACGTGGCTATAATCACTCTGTTCTCTCGATGGATACGTTTCTTCATATTAATAATGAGATTTGTTTACCCACGACTAAATAAAAAGTTGTTTGAATTTTTTTTTTGTTCAAAATGATCAGCTCAGGAAAATGACTCTACATGGAAACGTCTTTTTATGAGGCTAAAGAAAGGAATTTGATAAGTAATTCTGACTTGGACATAGCGTTGTTGATTATGAAATTCCTCTGTGTTTTTTCATTGTTTGGCAGTAAAACAGAGAGCTGTTACAGTTACCTTGACAACGGCATTCAACATTCCGTGCCATTTAATGGGCTTTCTTCATATACTTCAGCAATGCTGCTTCTCATTCTAACTGTACATCCAATATACCCAGAAAGTATTATCTTCTATAACAGGCCAGGATTAGTGAGCTTAACATTTCACATGACTTCCAAGGCCGTCTAAAACAGCATTAGGACCACAAAGAGACTGGAGGTTTCCCATGAGGTTTGCCGAGTCTCATTAGTGAAACCATGAGCATCCCAAATTGATTTTAAACTGATCCTCTGTAGCACTGAGCAGATTAACACAATGCCTCTATTGAAGGTATCGACCCACAATGTAAGTTTGGCAAACAATTAGAAGACTGCTGTATGTGACACCAATTCTGTATTAAAGGGACATGCCTCGTTTGACAATTACTTTTGTAAACCAGCAAGTAAACACGTTTAAACAAATATACAAACCACAATAAAGCAAGACAGACTCTAAAAAGTATGTAATGAACATTTATAAACTTACTATAAACAGATTGCATTATTCAGCACGCCTCTCAGCGAAGGGAGTTTCTTAAATCCATCCCCACCCCGCCACTTACCAACCCATCTCAGTTTCAGACCAGTCCACTAGTGGCAGAAACAGGGCATCATTGTGCAGCAGCAGGAGAGAGAAACCCAACGCTTGAATCCCACTGCCCACATGTGTAAATCTGTCAGGCACGCCTAATGCATTTTCCCAGCTTTCCTAGGGATAGGACAATGATTGGTTAGACCAGTATCCCACCTCAAGAGGGTGAAGAAAGCATAGGAAAGAAGAAGCAGGAAAATACGAAAAATTAGGTGATGAGGGTACCTGGATTCCTCCAGACATAACACTTTAAATTGAGGCCAACCAGTTCAATCTTCAATCAGACCAGAAAATTTTATTTTTCAGTCTCAGAGTCCCTTAGGAGCTGCACTCAGAGGAGATGTTATTGCAAATGAAACTTAAATTCACCGAGTAACTGTTTGAGGGCAGGTTAACAAGAGCTTTCAGGAACGTTAGCGGAGTAAGATGTGATCATAAAGGGTCTCACAGAGAATCAGAAAGAAATAAATCTCCCAAAGATTGGATGTGCCTGGAGGCAGGACCAGGGGGTAGAGCTATACTGGGACATTTTAGGTGACTTGATGACATGCTGCAATGATAACCATTTTGGAGGTGAAATATAATTTAGAAAACAGGTGTCTTTATTGTACAGACTAATTTCTAAACCTTTTTGGATAAGTATCTAAACTCATCTATTATTATTTAATGTTGCATTATTGTATTATTGCTATAATGCTCTGTTTTACAACTCACCATAATGCACAACATTATATGATAGGAGAGAAAAGAGGTAAAAATGGAGTTTCAAAATAGAGACTTTTCTTCTGAACGAGGAACAGATGGGAGAAATGCTCAACCCTAGATAATAGTTTCTGAAGATACTGTGCATTCAGAGAGCATTGCAGTCTTACTCTACAAATGCGGTCTTACTCTACAAATAGTGAACAGAAAAAAAAAGGGTGAAAGCGCACAAACAGTGGAATATTTTACCTTTAAAATCTTGTATAGGTCCTATTTTCAGAAACAGACAGTAACTGTGGACCCTATATATAATATATACGAGAAAACAACATACTGTATACTGTTGAAACCTATTTACAATATGTGGAGAATAAAAAAGGTTCACTCACGTTTTCCAGAGCCACATAAGTTAGGCTCTGGACTATAAAGGTATTTCATCCATCAAGGGATACACTGGATCTGATCCTCCTCTTAGATGTTTGTAATACGTTTTTCTTAGCAGGAACTCAGGAACCAGGTAAGATGAACTGTTAAAATAAACATTTGGTATAAAATAATAAAAGCAAAAATTGCTGACACAGCAGCTAGCACAGCGCGTTTCGACCCTCCAGGGTCTTTTTCAAGTGCAGTATTACCTCCCATTTGCTGACCCACCTATATATGCCTCCAATTTACAATATTGGAGACAGGTGTAGCAGCAGGAAATGGTAATTGAATGTCCATATTTGGTCATTGCAGGAAGCATCTCACCACCACTAAGATGGTGGTGCTTCCTGTTTTGACATACATAAATAAAGAGGGGGAAAACAAAATGCTAGTGACTAGTGACAGTTGCAGAAGAGGAATCAGTCAGGAGCTATTAACAGTTTAATTGATACGCTTTTATGAAGAAGTGGGTTTTTAACAATTTTTTAAAGGAGTGGAGACTGGGTGAGCATCTAACGGAGAAGGGAAGCGAGTTCCACAGGAACAGTGCAGCCCTCGAGAAATCTTGAAGGCGAGCATCAGAGGTGGGAGTACGGACAGAAGATAGACGTAAGTCTTCAGCAGATCGCAAGGGCCTAGACGGGACATACTTGTGTATAAGGGAGGATAGATACGTGGGAGCAGCATTATGTAGCGATTCTCTGGATCATCTTTGAGATGTTTATACACTTGGATTTGAGTCCACATTTGGCAAATTCAATTGACTGCCATGACTTGAAAAGGCACACCTATCTATATAAAGTCAATCAAAGGAACTTCCTGCAGAGCTCAGGAACAATATTGTGTTGAGACACAGATCAGGGGAAGGCCTTAAAAACCATTGCATTGAAGGGTTCCAAGAGTCCCATAATTCTCAAATTAAAAAAAGTTTGGAACAACTAAGACTCTTCCTAGAGCTTGCTACCCAGCCAAATTGAGCAATTAAGGAAGGAGTACCGTGGCAACAGAAGTGACCAAGAACTCGATGGTCACTCTGTGTGAGTACCAGAAATCATGTGTGAAGATGAGAGAAACTTGCAGAAGCATAACCATCACTACAACACTTCACAGATCTGGCCTTTATGGCTGACTGACAGGAATTTGCAAAGAAACAAATAGATGACTCTGAGACTGAAAATAAGATTCTCTGGTCTGATGAACTGAATATTGAACTATTTGGCATCAATTTAAATAGTTATGTCTAGAGGAAACCAGGCACCGCTCATCACCTACACAATACCATCCCGACAGCGATGCATGGTGGTGGCATCATGCTTTAGCTGTGTTTTTGTACTGCCATTGACTGGAAGACTGGTCAGGGTTGTCAGGACAGGGTGACACACAACGCATAGAATTAAATCAAATAAATATAAAAGGTAGAAGGAAGAATGGATAGATACGTATTACTGATCTTTAGAGATGGCAGGGCTTAGTGTAAAATAGCAAGGAGAAATAGCGAAGTCAAAATACAAAATACAAATCATTACAGAGCTAGACATTACCAAAAGTCAAAGCCAGAGTCGGGGATTACAGAATGAAGTATAGTCAAGACAAGACAAAAATTGGCAAACCAGGAATCAGTAATAGCAATATGTAGCACACTCTCAGATCACCACAAAGGAAACCACAACAAAGCAAAGGCAGCATGCAAGGAGGGGTTTAAATAGTCCTAAAACTCTACTGATTGTCCTGCTTCATTCCTTCTACACCTAATCAGGAATATCTGCTTTGGAAATGACACAGGATATCTCAGAGTCAAGAATGTCAAGAATCAAGAGAGCCAGCATGTGCCAGCAACGGCATTAGAATGGCATGAGTTTGGACCCTCTGCATCAATATGACACAATAAGGCTGTGTTAATCTGACAGGTTCCATGACAACGGTTGAGGGAAAGCAGAATTCAGAAAATTTTAGAGAGAAATTATTTGTGGAAACCTGGTCCAGAGTCCTCACACTGGGTTGACAGTTTACTGTACAACAGGACATAGATCCAAACACACAACCAAGTCAATACAAGAGTCACTTAGGGACAACTCTGTGAATGACCTTGAGTGACCCAGCCAGAGCCCCGATTTGAGCCCAATCAAGCAACTCAGGAGAGACACATACAGTCCTCATTCTACCCGAGAGAGGGCTTGAGAGGATCTGCAGAGATGAATGGCAGAACATCCAGGTGTGCAAATCTTGTCGCATTATACCCAAAAAGATTTGAGTATTCAGGACAGGTTAATATATGGTGGGACAGGTTAACATATGGTGTTGTCTCCAAACTCTTCCCATTTCTTTGTTTCCATTACTGGGTGATGAGGAGGCATTGTATTCACTGCTGGGGTTCCAAGGAATGACTGGGTAACACACAACAATAATAAAAACTCTGGAGTATTCTCAGCTTCAGTATATCTCAAGGTATTTGTTATTCCTATCTGTATGAGTATTCAGTTCATAGACAAAGTGTTGTTTCAGGCCAGTCAGCGAGATGTGTATAAACAGGTAACAGGAATTTCACCCAATCCACAAGCCAATAAGGTGCTTAACTGGACCATGGGCCAGCACTATCCCATCAAAATATAAATACCAGTTGAAGAAAGAAGGTCCATGCAGTCCTATGGTTAAAGACACATTTATTGGAACCACATCAACATTTTGACCCAAAATCAGCTTGACAAAGATAATTCTGGGTCGAAACATTGCTGTGTTTCTCTGGTTCCAAAAAATGTGCCTTTAAGCATAGCAGTGCCTGGAACTTTGTGATGCACAGTGATACAGTTGTACAGCCATATATATCACAAAGATACGTCACCTTTCACTGCTGTGGTGCTTAAGGCCCTATTGTTGGATTTCAGAAAAAAATATAGCAGCAGGCTTCTTGGACAATGGGTCAATCAAAAGTGGCATTATACATTACAGGTCTTTATGTAGAGAGGTCCACAGGGTTAAAAAGCTGTGCAGGTTTCTAATTCCCCTACTGACCTAATGAAGAATCAGAGAAGGCATACTAATATTAAAATCATGTCTAATATAGGATTTTTGCCAAGACATGTGCACCGTTAAAATTTTGGTTAAGCCCAACTGATTTGTCAGGGAAAAAAATGTTGTTTGAGTGATTCAAAACGAGGGTGTTTCGGTTTAAACAAATTTCATGCCATTTTTGGAAACACGATTGGGACAATCCAGAATGGCTCAAAACTGCATATTGCAAAAGTGTTCTGCAAAACGTAAATAGTATCTATATTATGTTATGTATATATTTTGCTGTATACTGATAGGCGTATATTCCCATAATTTGATTCACAGATCAGGTGAGAAGTAGTCAATAGAGGGAAAAAAGAGATCAGTAAAAAATTATCTATTTTGCTATATTTATTATATGTATATATTTATATATTATATTTTTATATAAATATAGATTTTTTTTTCACTGCTATCACTTTTTTTCCGTTATTGGTCACTTTTCACATTTTGTTTTGTGATTCAGTCATATGGCATTTGGGAGTTACGAAATTCGGATGAATTACCCAAAATTCACATTTCTTTGAAACCAAGTCTACTTTCCACACTCAGGTAGACAGCATATTCCAATTCCAAGACATTGTATGACATTCTCAGAATATAGAAATTCCCAATCACTATGCTCATTTAAAGGTCCGCACTTAACTTTTATGCTAATAAATGCTGTGTGACGTAGATCCCTTACTGCTCTCTCCCACTAGTCTAAAGAAATCAGATATGGGAAATTAATATCAAACCAAACTACAGATTTAAACATGGGGAAAAAAGTGGGACTACAAAGAAAAAAACCTATGGAATGTACGTAAGGTGGGTTGGTTTCTCTGTAATATTCATAAAAAGCCGTCCATAATAAGTTTTGTACATTTTTACATAATTCTGGATTTTATAATTGTATTATTGGTTTTATTATCATCTAAATTTAAGGACCAGCTTT